GTTTTTCAAGCTCTAAAGATGTAAGACATTTAGCTGGGACAGTGTGTATAAGACATTTAGCTGGACAGTTTTTGTAAGACATTTAGCTGAGGCAGTTATTGTAAGACATTTAGCTGGGACAGTTTTTGTAAGACATTTAGCTGGGACAGTTTTTGTAAGACATTTAGCTGGGACAGTTTTTGTAAGACATTTAGCTGGGACAGTTTTATTGTAAGACATTTAGCTGGGACAGTTTTATTGTAAGACATTTAGTTGGGACAGTTTTTGTAAGACATTTAGCTGGGACAGTTTTTGTAAGACATTTAGCTGGGACAGTTTTTGTAAGACATTTAGCTGGGACAGTTTTATTGTAAGACATTTAACTGGGACAGTTTGTATAACACATTTAGCTGGGACAGTTTTTGTAAGACATTTAGCAGAGGCAGTTATTGTAAGACATTTAGCTGGGACAGTTTTTGTAAGACATTTAGCTGGGACAGTTTTATTGTAAGACATTTAACTGGGACAGTTTGTATAACACATTTAGCTGGGACAGTTTTTGTAAGACATTTAGCAGAGGCAGTTATTGTAAGACATTTAGCTGGGACAGTTATTGTAAGACATTTAGCTGGGACAGTTTTTGTAAGACATTTAGCTGGGACAGTTTTTGTAAGACATTTAGCTGGGACAGTTTTTGTAAGACATTTAGTTGGGACAGTTTTTGTAAGACATTTAGCTGAGGCAGTTATTGTAAGACATTTAGCTGGGACAGTTTTTGTAAGACATTTAGCTGGGACAGTTTTTGTAAGACATTTAGCTGGGACAGTTTTTGTAAGACATTTAGCAGGGACAGTTTTTGTAAGACATTTAGCTGGGACAGTTTTATTGTAAGACATTTAGCTGGGACAGTTTTATTGTAAGACATTTAGCTGAGGCAGTTTTTGTAAGACATTTAGCTGGGACAGTTTTTGTAAGACATTTAGCTGGGACAGTTTTATTGTAAGACATTTAGCTGGGACAGTTTTTGTAAGACATTTAGCTGGGACAGTTTTTGTAAGACATTTAGCTGGGACAGTTTTTGTAAGACATTTAGCTGGGACAGTTTTTGTAAGACATTTAGCTGGGACAGTTTTTGTAAGACATTTAGCTGGGACAGTTTTTGTAAGACATTTAGCTGGGACAGTTTTTGTAAGACATTTAGCTGGGACAGTTTTTGTAAGACATTTAGCTGGGACAGTTTTTGTAAGACATTTAGCTGGGACAGTTTTTGTAAGACATTTAGCTGGGACAGTTTTTGTAAGACATTTAGCTGGGACAGTTTTTGTAAGACATTTAGTTGGGACAGTTTTTGTAAGACATTTAGCTGGGACAGTTTTTGTAAGACATTTAGCTGAGGCAGTTTTTGTAAGACATTTAGCTGGGACAGTTTTTGTAAGACATTTAGCTGGGACAGTTTTTGTAAGACATTTAGCTGGGACAGTTTTTGTAAGACATTTAGCTGGGACAGTTTTTGTAAGACATTTAGCTGGGACAGTTTTATTGTAAGACATTTAGCTGGGACAGTTTTTGTAAGACATTTAGCTGGGACAGTTTTTGTAAGACATTTAGCTGGGACAGTTTTTGTAAGACATTTAGCTGGGACAGTTTTTGTAAGACATTTAGCTGGGACAGTTTTTGTAAGACATTTAGCTGGCACAGTTTGTATGAGACATTTAGCTGGGACAGTTTTTGTAAGACATTTAGCTGAGGCAGTTATTGTAAGACATTTAGCTGGGACAGTTTTTGTAAGACATTTAGCTGGGACAGTTTTTGTAAGACATTTAGCTGGGACAGTTTTTGTAACACATTTAGCTGAGGCAGTTTTTGTAAGACAATTAGCTGGAACAGTTTTATTGTAAGACATTTAGCTGGGACAGTTTTATTGTAAGACATTTAGCTGGGACAGTTTTATTGTAAGACATTTAGCTGGGACAGTTTTTGTAAGACATTTAGCTGGGACAGTTTTTGTAAGACATTTAGCTGGGACAGTTATTGTAAGACATTTAGCTGGGACAGTTTTTGTAACACATTTAGCTGAGGCAGTTTTTGTAAGACATTTAGCTGGAACAGTTTTATTGTAAGACATTTAGCTGGGACAGTTTTTGTAAGACATTTAGCTGGGACAGTTTTAATGTAAGACATTTAGCTGGGACAGTTTTATTGTAAGACATTTAGCTGGGACAGTTTTTGTAAGACATTAGGCTGGGACAGTTTTTGTAAGACATATAGCTGGGACAGTTTTATTGTAAGACATTTAGCTGGGACAGTTTTATTGTAAGACATTTAGCTGGGACAGTTTTTGTAAGACATTTAGCTGGGACAGTTTTTGTAAGACATTTAGCTGGGACAGTTTTATTGTAAGACATTTAGCTGGGACAGTTTTATTGTAAGACATTTAGCTGGGACAGTTTTTGTAAGACATTTAGCTGGGAGAGTTTTTGTAAGACATTTAGCTGAGGCAGTTATTGTAAGACATTTAGCTAAGACAGTTTTTGTAAGACATTTAGCTGGGACAGTTTTATTGTAAGACATTTAGCTGGGACAGTTTTTGTAAGACATTTAGCTGGGACAGTTTTTGTAAGACATTTAGCAGAGGCAGTTATTGTAAGACATTTAGCTGGGACAGTTTTATTGTAAGACATTTAGCTGGGACAGTTTTTGTAAGACATTTAGCTGGGACAGTTTTTGTAAGACATTTAGCTGGGACAGTTTTATTGTAAGACATTTAGCTGGGACAGTTTTTGTAAGACATTTAGCTGAGGCAGTTATTGTAAGACATTTAGCTGGGACAGTTTTTGTAAGACATTTAGCTGGGACAGTTTTATTGTAAGACATTTAGCTGGGACAGTTTTTGTAAGACATTTAGCTGGGATGGTTTTTGTAAGACATTTAGCTGGGACAGTTTTTGTAAGACATTTAGCTGGGACAGTTTTTGTAAGACATTTAGCTGGGACTGTTTTTGTAAGACATTTAGCTGGGACAGTTTTATTGTAAGACATTTAACTGGGACAGTTTGTATAACACATTTAGCTGGGACAGTTTTTGTAAGACATTTAGCTGGGACAGTTTTTGTAAGACATTTAGCTGGGACTGTTTTGTAAGACATTTAGCTGGGACAGTTTTTGTAAGACATTTAGCTGGGACAGTTTTATTGTAAGACATTTAGCTGGGACAGTTTTATTGTAAGACATTTAGCTGGGACAGTTTTTTTAAGACATTTAGCTGGTACATTGTAAGACATTTAGCTGAGACCGTTTTTTTAAGACATTTAGCTGGTACATTGTAAGACATTTAGCTGAGACCGTTTTTTTAAGACATTTAGCTGGCTCAATCTGACAGCTGAACTCAGGTAAAAACAAAAATAGATCAATAAAATGTTTCCAGAACATTCCAATCCTGATGAAACTCTAACATTGCCTTAGCTACAATTATCCTCACAATAGGTTATATCTTCTAGGAGCACAACTGCAACATTTCTCTAATACAAGGCCAGCTACTCTGGATTAGTTGAGTCACTGGCATGAAATGTCAATGAAACACACTTGATATTTGCATACAACAACAACAAGTGAGCTAAAAAAACAAACAAATTAATTGATCAGAAAATGTTGCAATGCCACCATTTGACTCCCAGCGATGGCAGTCATTATCCTGGCCTGCAACAACACATTATCTCAACACATTATCATGCCAAGCTTTTATTTCTTTAATTAAATAACACATCTACCAGCTCTTATGCCCACTGATGGGTTCTTTGGATATTTATGGACAAGAAATGCCATGAAAATTGTGAAATGCTTATATCAAATCTAGCAAGGAAAGTAAACTTCCACCAATAAAGAGTTTTATTTATTTATAGCCCTTCATACTTATAATCGTCTAAAACTTCTTTTCTGTTTAGAGTAGTTTTAGAACTTGACTTTCAGATTCACAAATAGTGTGGCTAAAGTTACAAATCAAATTTACAATAACATGCAAATCCATTGTTCAGGTGAACTTAAACCATGTATTTGATTGAATACAAAGTTGAATGATACTAACACCAGTGTCTACACTAAATAAAATAATGTTACGTAATGCTAGATAAGTTGGCTAAATATACATGGTCACAGGGATGAATTATGATAGTCACAGGATTGAATACAGATTGTTACAATATTGCCACAGGATTAAACATGGTTTAAAGGATTGAATACAGATTGTTACAATATTGCCACAGGATTAAACATGGTTTAAAGGATTGAATACAGATTGTTACAATATTGCCACAAGATTGAACAATGGTTGTCAAAAGATTGAATATAGATTGTTACAATATTGCCACAGGATTAAACAATGGTTGTCAAAGGATTGAATTCAGATTGTTACATTATTGCCACAGGATTGAACAATGGTTGTCAAAGGATTGAATATAGATTATAAATTGTAACTGGGTTGAATGAAGATAAAGGACAGAATATAGATTTTCAAATGATTGAAAATTTATCATCATATAGAACATTTGATAATTCAACAATTTAATAATCAAAGCAAAGATTTTTAAAAGCTTGAAATAATTTAGTAGAAGCCATTAGTGAACAAAGCTGTTTTAATTAATTAATTGAAGAAAAATAGACACATTTTAAAAAGTCTAAATGGCCAAGAAAGATAACCAGGCCTGTTTGCTAGAGAAAAAAATATTAAGAGCCAAAAAGGAGTTTCAAATTGTAACTGAATAAATAAATTTTCCACACAATTTAATAAAAAGCTGGTTTGCAAATGTCATTTTTATTTTATGTTGTTGGAAGATTAATTTTAAAAGATGGAAAATATTTTAGTTTTTTAACAATATAGGATAAGGGAAGTAAGACTGTTTTTTTTTACATTTTTAATTTTAAAGAGTTAATTCCCTTTCACCCTGAGACTAACAATAAATACGTTTTAAAAAAAAATATGATTTCCTCTAATGGTCAAAGTATTTTTAAACTCAACACGGTACTGACCTGAACTTTGTAAGGCTCTGACTCAAACAGCTTGTAGATCCCAAGAATGAGATCCTCATTCTCAAATATAGTGCAGGCAAAAGTGTGGATCTCTGAGCTTGCCAGGCCCTGTAATAGAACCCAGTGTCAGAGTTCACCAAACACATTACTTGAACAATGCTTTCAAAGTCAACAACATCAATTGCCGGCAGCACAATTACAACCACTTATGTTTATTTCAACATATTAAGGGGATGGGATGTGGGTGTATACCACTTTGTTGTTTGTTCAAATCTTCATTGTTTAGATTTTTTTTTTAAATAATTGCATCAATCTATATCCAACAAAATTTACAACGAATAAACTGTCCTAGGTATACATTATCCTAATATCCAAATCTACAGGCTAAAAACATGATCCTAAGCCAGAGTACCAAACTCATGACTTTTGGGTTTGCTAGCAAATGCTTTACCACTAGACCACATCATCCCCATTAAATGTACAACTAGCTTGAGAAAGAAGGAAGATATTTGGATGGAGATTTTCTATATTCTTTAAACACAATCTATTTTGTTCAAGATTGTACGTTATTGGTTAAGAAATGAACATTGATAGCATGACCAAAATATGGCTTTCATTCATTTACAGCTGACAGGCATTGAACTTTCAGTCAGAAATATTTTTAGACATGGAATACCATTTTATACAAATTCAAAACAAACTAAAAGACACCAGACATCAATAATGAGCTTGTGAGAATGACACCTTACCTTTCAGCCATCACCATCATTAATTAACATGTAAGCATGAAACCTTACTTTTAGCCATCAACTTGTGAGCATGGAACCTTACTCTCAGCCATCAACAATGAACTTGTGAGAATGAAACCTTACTTTCAGCCATCAACTTGTGAGAATGAAACCTTACTTTCAGCCATCAACAATGAACTTGTGAGAATGGAACCTTACTTTCAGCCATCAACAATGAACTTGTGAGAATGGAACCTTACTTTCAGCCATCAACTATGAGCTTGTGAGGATGGAACCTTACCTTATAATCAGCAAGCCATTCTCTCACAGCTTTAGTTAGCATTGTGAATATCTAGTTGATCTCATTAGCTGAACTAGATGTACATCTTCTGGCATCAAGCACCTGAAATAGAACAAACTGTCAGCTTAAAGTGTCCCACATAGGTTGGTTGTCCTGACCCAACCACTTATCATAGCTATACCAACAGGAAATGTGTGAAAACAAATATTGAAAACGTAAATAATGTACACAAGTTAGGTGATCTAACGGCCAAGTGATTGGTAGTCTTAAGATGATAGATGGCCAATGGTCAGCCAATTGATAGCTAAATGGCCAGGTGATAGACGGCCAATGGTCAGCCAATTGATAGATGGCCAATGGTCAGCCAATTGATTGCTTAATGGCCAATGGTCAGCCAATTGATTGCTTAATGGCCAATTGATAGATGGCCAATAGTCAGACAATTGATACCTTAATGGCCAACTGATAGATGGCCAATGGTCAGCCAATTGATAGATGGCCAATGGTCAGCCGATTGATAGATGGCCAATGGTCAGCCAATTGATAGATGGCCAATAGTCAGCCAATTGATAGCTTAATGGCCAAATTTGTTTGTAAAGGGGAACAACTAAAGAATATTTGAACACAAAGCAAACCAAGAAGAGTTATGGAGAAAAGGAGTCAATTTTTTTAAATTTTCAGATTTTAACAAGTGTGTGTGTTTGCAGCTCGCATAATATAAAAGTACCCCAAGATATTCAATCAAAGTTCAATCTAAGAAATATCCTCATGTTTAGAAATATTAGCATTATATAACTCACAAGTATACAAACTTTTTTTTTTATAAACTCAGCACTTTTTTAGAAAAATTGTTATACAGAAGACAACCAGTTCCTCAACAATGATAATTTTATAATTTTATACCTTTGTACTGAGTGAAATCTAAAACATTTGATACTTTCTTTTTGTTATCTAAATATACATATACATACATATATATATTTATTTAATTGGGCCTACAGCTTAAAAACTAAAATAAAGATCTACAATATAGATGTAGTAAAAAGAGCATTTGGACCCTCATTTGTTTCTAAATTACCTTTTGATTTTTACCTATAAACTTTCTATTTTTCGGTTGTGACTTTTTAAAATATATTTTGCTTTAGGCCTCACTTTAATAAAATAGAGCTCAATTTTACACAATATCCAAATAATTTCCACTGTTGAAATTCAATACGTAATACTACACATTTCCATAGACATGTGAATCCATGTTGTACTAGTTATTCTTATTTTTTATTCACAGTAAAATTGCAAAAAAACAGTCCATATAGACACTATAGACCGTTCAGACCTGGGTTTTAGATCCCTGATTTATCCCACCAAATGTTACCACTACCTTAAGCATTGACCCACCCCTCCCTCTGATTGCTTATTTATGCACCAAAGGCAAACCCAACCTTAAAGGTGGAAAAGCAGTAATTGACTTTATGTGTGTAAACAATACTAGAGTCAATGCGTCAATGGGGCACCACAGATTTGTGTGTTATGTCTAGCTAGGGCTAAGTGCCACTAAGTGTCATGGTGCGCGCCCTCCCCCTATCATGACTGATCACAGTTGGATGCCTCCATGTAGGTGGTTGGCCTGGGTCACTAACTTGTGGCTGTTGAGGTTCTTCTAAGAACTCATGTGCCCTGGCCAGTGACCTTTACTGGAAGGCCATGCTCCCAATGATGCTGTGTTAGCATAACTCATACGCCCAGTGACACTATGTTAGCGCCATTAGTTTGATTTAGAAGTTTTCTTTCCTGGATCAGTTGCTGCACCCAACAGGGGTCTATCACGCCTTGTCTGCCTGAGGTTTCGAAACTCTGGACTTTTCGGTTTAGCAACCATGAGATTTATCGACCCACCCAATCCCATGGCGACCTCATAACAACAATAAACAGAATGTATAAAATAAATTAAAAGGTAGGTTTATGGCTACAGCATAGATTTTAATATAGATATTTCAGCCTAACTGCCTAAGTAACTGGTAGCTAAACCAAATTAAATAGGCCCACTGGATTTAAAAATCTCCACTCTCTAGAATACTCATGATTTGCACTTTATTAAAAAATTGGAAGAGACTACTCTGAAAAGGTTTTTCGCCCCAGCTTCTCCATTTTGTCTGTAAAAGATAGTTCTGCGCAAGCGCACTGACCTTAATAGCTGAGCTAGGGTTAGGGATAGAATTCTGTGGTTTGTTTGTAAACACACGCAAGCACAGTACCATAGAAAACATAGCAACGAAGGAAAGTCGTAGTTTCTCTCCATTGCGCATGGATCTTTTTGCGGCTAGAATTGGCCTAAAAAATGTATTTTGGTTTAGATCTAGTACTGAAATTAGAAAATTAGGCATTTTGATGAGAATTTCAGAATGATTTTTTTCATTAAAAATGTATCAATAATAGCTAGCACACTAGTAAACTAAGCCAATTTAGCATATTTTAACTTTCTGTGCAAAGTCATTATTACTGAAAAAATTCCAAAGTCAGGTCAGCCTGTGGCACCCTCCACTGAACTTGACTAAAGGAAAAAATATTTGACCTGTGACCTTCATTAAAACAGAATTTACTTTTTTTTTTTTTAAATTATTAATAAACGTGCTAAATCTTACCCAATAAGTAATACAAATTTGAAAATTAATTTTAATAACTGTTGTAAAGTAAGATAAACAGCTTAATAAACATGTGCTTTCTTGAGGGGGTGTGGCACATCGCAATTATAACTTTAGTCTTTATATTGTGTTTTTTTACTATATTTGTACACAATCAGCATGCTATGCTTTTAAAATTGATAAAGGGTAAGTATACCAAGTTACAAAACCTGCAAGCTAACTAATATTAGTTTCAGTTTAAAAAATAATAAAAACGATCATCTATTTCTATGAAGAAAGCATAAACATTCTATTTTTAGGTGTGACATAAAAAAAGTCATAAATCTAGCCAAATGATTGGATTCTTGCGTGGCACACATTATCCCGCGCCTCGTTTTCACCAAACAAGATTATAATAAAATGGAATTATTGGGGGGTGATCGTTTTGCCACGAACATATCTCATAAACTCCATAAATTATTACCAGTTAATTGTAATGTGTGTAAAATTGATGCTTTCAAGTTTTATATGCACATAGTCTGGTTCGCTATGAAAGCGTTATTTTAGAATTATTTGATTTGAAAGACAAGAATACATAGAACTATTTTGACTTAGGCGCCGCTAGCGAGACAAAGAAATTAGGTCAAAAGTACATCTGATAATTCTTAAATAACAGACTGAAATAGAAATGGATAGTTCCGATTTCTAAAATTAACGATGGCCTCGTAGTCATTAGTTTTATACCTCTACCGTGAAAGCGAAACTGGTCGCCATTTTAGTAAGCGCATGAGCCATGAGATGCCACGAAAATTACAAACCCGAAAACGTTGAATCGAACGGCCTAATAAAATCAAACTAGCTAGTTTTTAGCTAAGTCGCCTAAGTAGTGTAGGCTCTGTCCTAGATATTTGACTAGATATCTAGATCTAGAACTAGATTCTAGATCTAGAACTAGATTCTAGATCTAGCTAGATCTAGAATAGATCTATTTTCTAGATTTTTTATTATTTTTATTTTTTATGTGACCTTGCAGATTATTTATACAAGTAGATCTACAGTAAAATAAATATGTATCGTACGCATAGACCGTTTAATTCCTTATGTTCAGTTTAATTGCAGTTCAGATCCTTAAACGAATGTTTCAAATACTTAGTTTCTATTCTATTTAATAATAATAGTAATAGACATAGGCGGTAGTCTCTTGAGATACCTGTGTTTGTTATCATTTAGCTCGGAACGATTTGCTCCAAATAAGTATAGATCCTCTAGATCTAGAATCTACTGCTGGATAAGAATGAGGACGTATTTACGACACTGTTTTTAAAATAGAGGCATTTTAACATATATATTTATGTTCATTTCTGACAAACGTTATTTTACTAATGTCCAAGACGTGTAAAATATCTGATTAAAGGATCATATTCAAACTTAGTATTTGGTTTATGCTTTTGTCTTGCAAATGATGTGTGTTTTTATTTTACGACTAAGTCCAGATCTATGTATGTGTTGTTGGTATTAAAAATGGCTTCGCCCTTCAGTCGCTAATGAACTTATTATTCGTAGATCTAGATAAGAGAAAGCAATCTGTATTCCTGCAAGATTGGAGTTTTTAAGTCTGGTACATTTAGATCTAGATTCTATATCCTAATTGAATATGTATTTAAAATAGAACCGCTACCTTGTATCTAAGACTCTAAGAAAAGTTAATTCTGCAGGGACTGGAATGATGTGTGTTTTTATTTTACGACTAAGTCCAGATCTATGTATGTGTTGTTGGTATTAAAAATGGCTTCGCCCTTCAGTCGCTAATGAACTTATTATTCGTAGATCTAGATAAGAGAAAGCAATCTGTATTCCTGCAAGATTGGAGTTTTTAAGTCTGGTACATTTAGATCTAGATTCTATATCCTAATGAATATGTATTTAAAATAGAACCGCTACCTTGTATCTAAGACTCTAAGAAAAGTTAATTCTGCAGGGACTGGAATGGTTGAAGGGGGGGGGGGGAGCCCTAAAATAATTTACTTAACGAAGTGACTACTCGGAAAATGATTTAATCTCCGCAACGTCTGCGCTTAGTCGGCAAAAGATAGTTCTGCGCATGCGCAGTGACCTAGGGTTAGTGTTTGGGTTAGGGATCGGATAGGGTTAGGGCTAGGATTAGGCACTAGGGTTAGGTTAGGGCTAGAGTTCAGCGGTTGTAAACACACGCATGCGCAGTACCATCAAAAACATCGCCGCAATGGCAAGTCATAGTTTCTCTTCATTGCACATGCGTATCTTTTTCCGGCTAGCATCGGCCAATAATTTAATAATAGGGCTTAGGCCCCTATTAAATTTAAATACCAGGTCTATTTACTATTTAATGGCCTATTAATTTAAAATAAAGAAATAAAATTTGTTAAATGTTTAAATTATATTTGTAATAAACAAAAGCCAAATTATTGAAGTAACTCTTTAAAAAAAGTGACAGTAACTTAGTACTAAGTTCTAGGTCTAGTAGTAGTACTGAGTAAAGTTGAGTAAATTCACTAACTAAATTGAGTGGGGTGCAGAAGGCAGAAACCATTGTTCATATAATAAAATTATAGCCTAAATAATGCGCCTGATAGGCCAAAATAAAAATTACACAGTTGTCTGAAAATTTTTTACAACATTCAGATTTTGACAAGCGGATGATTAACCAACATTTGTTTTTTAACTCTTCCGACTTTAAGACACCACCTTGCAGTTTTTAATATTAAGTTGAACACAAACTTGCTTGAAGCCGCAGCATCATATATGATACATTTCAAGATATTTTGTTGACCTATAGCATAATAATAAATAAAAATGCTTTTTAAATTGTTTCTTTTTTAGATTTCTACAACAATACTAATTGTAAGGAATTCTAAGGAATGATAAGAAGAAGATAATTAAAAACTTATAGGCCTACATTGTTGCCAAAATTTTGATACATGCAATAAGCCTGGCTGATTTAAATTAAAATAAACAAGAAACAACACTTGTTGGTACTTAATTATTTCACAAAACCCCTTTTCTCATGTATTCATGACATGAATAAAAATGAAAAATACACGTTAGTTAATTCAAAGGTAAAGCCTTTATTTAGGCCTATTTTACCATTTAGCTTTAAGTTTTTTACCCTCTTTGATGGTGTAGGCTTGATTTTGGTATGGTAAATTTTGTCAATTAGATTTTCTTTCAGTGTCATTGAGTTGATTTGACCACAAAGAAATTGACATTTTTTGACCTTGTAAATGTTTGTAGAAATACATTTGAAATTTGCATAAAAATAATGTGTCTTATATTAAAACACAATAACAAATTATTGTAAAGTTTTAGTTTTTTAAAATATGCTGTGGAAGAGATAGTTAGGTCTTAATAGTAGGCTTAATAGTATCATCATCTTTTCCCGTTCATGCCCAAGAAACATGGGGCAGATAAAGTAGAGCTCATCTGTTAAAGATAACATGAAGGGATAGTGTGGTCAGCACTGTGTCCAGCTGCCTTTGCTTTCCCTAATGTGAGTTAGGTACCCATCAGAGCTGGGTGGACTCTGGGACATTCTGCTGACTTCAACCCGAATTTGTACTAATATTAATTATGTACTTAGTAGCTGCTGGGTGGACTCTGGGACATTCTGCTGACTTCAACCCGAATTTGTACTAATATTAATTATGTACTTAGTAGCCATTAGCATTATTTTATTAAATGTATATCATTTTCACCACTCAATAAAAATGAATTGTAATATTTTTACATTACTTTATTTCAGGTTCACTGTGGATTTTTCAACTAGATTTTTTTTAAATATAGTACTACTACCAGTATCAAAGCAGAATTCAGCAGATTAATTTTAAAATGGCTTTTGGTTCTAGACAACTTATACGCCAGTTTTCATCTACATCTTCCTTGCTTGCTTTGCCGAACATTCAAAAACCTCGTGTCCCATGGACAGAGAGAAGGATTTTAAATGCCGTGACGGTTCCACTTCTGCCGCCTGACACACGGCCACTTCCTGTCATATGCTATGCTGAAAAGTTGAAAAAGGAAAAGCGAAAAAAAACTAAGGTCAAATTTTGTTTAATTTTTAGTCACATTTTTATTGTTAATCAATTATTACATTATTCTTCTTTTTTTTTTGTTTGAATCTTATCACTAATCAATACATGATGTAATCAAGTTTTATTTCTCTAATTTTAGCTTGCTGAAGCCTACCATCAGTTCAAGCTGAATGAAATCAAGAAGATGTTGAATGGAAACAAAATGATTGCCATCTGCCACTTGTTACCTTCAACCAGGCGAGATTTCTTTAACTTAAGAGCAAAGTTCATCCCAGTTGGATTCAATCTTCACATCTTTAATAATTATTGGGCAAAGTGTGTACGGTTTACCCTGACTTTATCATAGGTTTCTCTCTTCATTATACCGTTCATATTCTCTGTTAATACTAAGTTGATCAATAGTTTAAAAATTTTATTTAAAAGATTTAAACTAAACAATTACAAATTCACAAGTCCTTGCCTGTTTTTATACTAATCAATTATCACTACCATTAAGATGCTGAGTTGGTCTTCTATGCATGTATATATATTAAGTTACCATATCTGATAGTTATTAATAATTTGTGGATAAAATCACTTTTTTGTTCTCAGAGAGGCAATAGAAAACTCAAAATTCCAAAACCTCAACTTATACATGACCTCTAATACAGCTTATATTACAAGTGAAGAGAACCGGGTCGTGGATGTTGTTGGTATTCTGCGGAAAACTGAAGGAATCCATCTGCTAGGTAAAAAAAAAACATTTATTTACGCCATTTACTTTTTGCCAAGGGAAGAAAAGTAAATTCCCTGTCTGTATACCAGATGATTGTATTTCTATTGCCAATGCACAGAAAGGGATTAGGGGCAGCAAAATCTTTCCCAGTTATTTAAGCTTTGATTTTTGTAATGAGTAATATAAAAACATATGGTACAATATTGGGTAATTGTTGGGTGTTTTTCTGTGTATATAAATAGTTTATTATGCCAGTTCAAAATTCATGTATGACAGTTAAATCATCTTCTATGACTTGATTCTAATGTTTTGAGTATGACATCATGTCTGAGGTTTCACGTCCAATGCTGGGCCGTCTTTTAGTCAGCCAATCTTGATATTGCCTGGGGCATTTTGATGTAGTCACCTAATCTCTTGAGGGCAGGGTTGGGTATTATAAAATTAAAGTTTCCCTTTCAAACCTGACGTTTGCACTATGCCCAGCCGCCTTTACTTTCCCTAACGTGAGTGAGGTACCCATCAGAGTTGGGTGGACTTAGGGACGGTCTACTGATTTGAACCCGGATTCGAACTCGAGACTTACGAGTTAGCAGTCCAGCTCTCTACAACTAGGCCACTCCGTCCCATTGGGTATTATACTGGTGACTTAATCCCTGTATGGACAGGGTTGGGTGTAGCAGTATTATACTGATCAGCTAATCCCTGGATTACAGAATATATACACAATTTAAACAAAATGCTGATGAAGCATAATGCCATGTGTATGTTTGATCTCTTTGCAGGTGGTCTTGTTGAAGGCAGGATTTTGTCTCGAGATGGTATGATGGATCTGACCAAGTTACCTCCCCTGGACGTACTTCGGGGAGAACTGGTCACAATTTTAGCCTCGGCCGCTGCCAAAACATCGAGTGTGTTGGGCCAACACCAGCAGGAGCTGGCCATCAACCTGGGCCAGTTGGCCAAACAAAAGCAAGAAGGCAGTGACACACCCCCAGCATCTACAACAGAAGACAATCAAGAACAAACGTAGTTCATGGCTTCAGTGATCTATAATGGAATTTTTTCTGGACGTTCTATTGTTAATGTGTAAAATGTGAACTGACCATTCTGCTGTGTAATGGCATTGTATTAATGTTTTAAGGAACAATATGTCAATGTATTGTTGTTTTTTGTTTTGTTAAAATATTGCATTTTAATTACATTTACAAACTACATAAAAAAATGTATGATGTGATAGTGGTAGTGTTGACAAAAGCAAATCATTTCTGAATCCATTGACTTAACATGCAGTGTTCACAAATCAAGCAGTATAAATGTTGAATATAAAAGGGATGTAATTGTGGTGATAATAAAAGTTTTCTTGTCAACAATATTCTTGATCTTTTATTGTATTGTTATATTACAAACTATTAGTCTAGACTGAAACATTCCATCATCATCTTAGCCCTCAACCACAGTAATTGTACTGTCAGACTTTGGTCTCCTGATGTAGTGACACCCACAACAGACTTGCATGCTGTCATTCATGTTTAGTTGAGAGCAGGGTGTTCCCTGAAGATCAGTTACCCCCTGTTCAGAAACAGCTGTCGATCATTATCGGGTTAAGGATAGGATTACGGTTAAGGAGAGGGATTGGGCTTGCTATAATATGTTGTCTCAAGGAGGAATGTTAAAGACCAGCTTTAAAAAACATTCATTTCTTTTGGATTAGGCTTTATAAAATCTTTTAGTGTAAACATTGATGCACAGCATCTAGTACAAAAATGCATAGGTTTCAAATGTATTTTTTTTTTATAATTATTTTAATTACCAATTTAAAATATATATTTTTTATCTATGTAAGCCCTGCTAGGGGGGGATACCTTAAAATCTACCCTTCTAGGCTTAACTAACTAATCTGTCCGGTCAGTGCAACCGTGGTAGAACCCACAGTGGTTGAACCCTAACCTTAGTCTAAATAATAAGCTACTAAAATAAAACAAAAACTTTTACAGTTAATAAAATTTATTGCATGGAACCAAAAGTTATAAAAAAAGAATAGATATAAACTGACACAAAACAGAACCAAACGAAACAAACTTTTTACATCAAACACAACACCCAATTTCGGACTACGTCCAGGACTACGACGAACACAAACACAAAATAAATAAGGCTGGATGGTGCGAATTTGCTACTCTTTTCACTGGATGACCAGAGAGACTGCCTGCTCCCTTCACCGCAGCTTTACACACAAAAGACAGAGTTGAACAAGCCGGAACCCGACTTCCACACACCTCACACGCTACACGTAAACAAATAGTCCCTAATTCACGGATAACAAACCAAACACGACGAAACATGCAACAGAATATTATAAAAAGACACTTACTATAAACAATGACAACAATATAAACGAAATATATATAAACTAGCTATAACCAGGGACATAAACAGTGAGACAGCGGCGCCATAATACGGGACTACACAACTAAAAAAATACGAACAATTTACGACATGAAACGAAACGATACATTCGCCTTCTAAGTTACAAATAATAAAAATACACTCCAGCCGCTCACATACACGCCCCCTAAAGCTTGCGGTCACCGCAAGCTAACAAACTTGAAAAAAACAGCCCACAGGGCATAATCATAAATGTTACAAAAAACTTTGCAGGAAGAACTTGCAAAAAAATCAGCCCACAGGGCATAATCATACATGTTACAAAAAACAAAACTTTGCAAAAGAACTTGCAAAAAAATCAGCCCACAGGGCACGATCATAAATTTTACAAAAAAACATTGTCAAAAAAATCAGCCCACAGGGCACAATCACAAGTCTAGCCTACTAGGGACTCTGCGCTCCCTGACCGACCTACGCAGAGGTATGTCAGGTACTGTGGGGTTACCGGCTGCTCTGGTCCCCGGCAATTGGACCTTATAAATTATGTGACTGTAGCCTGGAGTAGCCGGCGGTATCACTTTGACCGGCCTTGGGGAGGGTGGTTGAGCCCGGGGAGGCACATATCTCCTGATCTGGGTGCTGGCCACCCGGCGGGTGCCAGAAGGGCCATCTTTCTTTTTAATGGCGTAACACCCGCCGGTGATCGGAGGTACTTCGACAACGACGTAAACTGTCGGGCCGTACAGATCCGCCATTTTGTGCCTGCCCAGGGGGTGCTGCCTTAACAGGACCAGGTCGCCTATGGCCAGTTCAGCGGCTGGCCTGTTATTGGCCTGTCTGTCCCTCTTGGTGGCCTCTATTTGCAGCCTCTCCTGGGCTAGTTTGTGCAGGCTGGCCAGTCGTGTTAGGTGGCCCTGGAGGTAATCTCCAGCACCACCACTGTTTGCCGGAGGGGCTTGATTTAAAAATAGGTCCAAGGGGATGGCTGCCTCCCGCCCAAACAACAGCTGGAACGGGGAGAAACCTGTTGACGAGTGCGGGGTTGTATTGTACAGGAAGACCAGCTCGGTCAGGTACCGAGGCCAGTCCTTCTTCTTGTCAACAGGTAGGGTCCGAAGCAGATCGTGTAGGGTCCGGTTGAACCTCTCTGCTTGGCCGTTTCCTTGGGGGTGGTATGCTGTTGTTCGGGACCTCTGTATCCCATAATGGTCGCACAGTTCGTGTATTACGGCTGCCCCAAAGCATTTGCCCTGGTCCGAGTGTAGTCGCCTGGGGACACCGTAGTGAACTATCCAGTTCTGCACCAGGGCCTTCGCCACGGTTTTGGCAGTCTGGTCCTTCGTCGGAACAGCAACTGTCCACTTGGTGAAAACATCGGTGAGAATCAATACATCCTCCGTACCGTCTGCCGCTTTGTCCATCAGGGTGAAGTCGACTGCCACAACCTCTAGGGGCATGGTGGCCAAAAGATGACCTTTAGGCTGGTGCACCTTCAGACTGGTCATTTTCGCGTGCTGGCAGCGGTCACATGCCTGGCAGTACTGGCGTATATCTGCCTCCATCCCCGGCCAGTAGCATCGTTGCCGTAACAGCTGAAGGCAGCGGTCTGGTCCTTGGTGGCCGTTGTCGTTGTGACTTAGACGGAGTACCTCTGGTCGTAGTTGATTGGGGATAACGCATTGTGCGATTTCCCCTTGACCTGGCAGTTTCACTGTGCGCTGTAGGATACCGTCCTTCAACCTGAGTCTCGACTTTTGTCTCAGGAGAATCTGGGCTGGGAGTGATAAAGTCGAGGAATGTAATCTGTGGCCGGGCGTCAGGAAGGGTAGGATCTCCTGGATGGTTGAGTCTACCTGTTGGGCATTCTTCACATCGGCCGGTAAGGCCGAAGACAGGAAATTGCAGTGGGCCTCCAGAGGGACAGGTTGAGGTGTTGATATTGCCACCTCTGGTGGGACCCGTGTGGTGACCTGGTACACTCCGGAGTACTGGACTTCTGGATCTCTGGCTGCAGGCTTGTCCACAGGAAACCTGGACAGGGCATCCGCATTGGCATTGGATTTGCCGGACCTGTATTTTACTTCGAAGTCGAAGACATCTAGATCAGCAATCCAGCGGTGCTCAGTTGCACCAGTCTTAGATGATTTAATGTAGCTAAGCGGATTGTTGTCTGTCAGTACCAATGTCTTGCTGCCCAGCAAATACCCTCTGAATTTTTCGGCCATGGCCCACTTCAAAGCCAAAAGTTCTAACTTGAGGGCACTATAGTTTTTCATGTTTTTTTCATTTACTCGGAGTGACCGGCTGGCGAAGGCTATTACCTTCACCCCATCCGCTTGTTTCTGGCTTAGGACTGCACCCAAACCGTAGCTGCTGGCATCTGTCTCTAGAATAAAGGGTAGGGTAAAGTCAGGGTAACCCAGAACAGGCGTGGTGGTCAAGGCCGTCTTAAGCCGGTTAAAGGCTGACTGTTGTTCTGGGCCCCACAGGTTGGTTATGTCCTGCCGTTTGTTTCGCTTGCCGAATTGTTCATGAGTATTGGTGACCACTTGGTGAAGGGGCTGTGCTATGTTGGCAAAACCTTTAACAAATCTTCGGTAGTAGCTGGCAAGGCCCAAGAAAGAACGGAGTTCTTTTAGGGTCCTTGGGGGCTGCCACTCGCTGATGGCTGTAATTTTCCCTGGGTCAGTCTTCACACCATCCTTGGACACCACATGTCCCAGGTAGTGCACGCTCTCCGCCCCAAACACACATTTCTCAGGGTTAAGTTTGAGACCGATATCTCTCAGTCGTGCGAGTATTGTGCGCAGGTTGGCCAGGTGTGAGGTGAAGTCTGGGGCATATATTAGGATGTCATCCAGATAGGCCAGCATGATTCTCATGATGTGCTCACTCATTACCCCCTGCATTAATCTGGAAAAAGTCTGGACGGCGCCACATAGGCCAAATGGCATTCTGGTCCACTGGTACAGACCAAAGGGAGTAACGAAGGCAGTCTTTTCTTGGTCTTCTTCAGCCATGGCAACCTGGTGGTAGCCACTGGCTAAGTCCAGCGTGGAGAAGAAGGTTGACCCCGCCAGGGCATCCAACGTTTCATCGATTCGGGGCAGCGGGAACGCATCCTTCCGGGTTATGCCATTCAGCCTCCTGTAATCGCAGCATAACCGGATCTCGCCATTCTTTTTCTTCACGATGACCATTGGAGCTGCATAAGGGCTGGTGCTGGGTTGGATAATGCCCCTGGTAGTCAACCTTTCAATGTGTTCTTTAACCGCAGCGAACTCTGTAGGCGGAAGCCGGCGGTAGGGTAGCGCTACTGGTATGTCACTGGTTAGTGGGATGCTGTGTTTAATTTTGTCCGTGAAACCCAACTGGTCGTCTGTCCAAGCAAAAACGTCTGTGAATTCCTGGAGTAATTTCTCCAGAGCCGCCCGCTGTGGTGGGTCTAGGGTTTCTGCCATCATGCTGGAAAACGAGGGCTCTGGCATGGAATCGTGGGTCTCGCTGGACAGGGATGAGTCTATGACCACCTCAGCAGCCAGAGAGTTGACCCTGAACTGCAGGTTTGGGGGGACCAGCTCGAACGGGTGGATTGTTGCTAGACAGGTCCTACTGGAGATGTAGACGGGCTCCTCAGACAGGTTAGCCACCTGTACCGAGAAGAATCCCTCACGGCAGGAAGTTAGGCCTGGCACCACGAGCAGGTCCGGGTGAAATGGCTGTTCCAATGGCTGTACCAGCATGTCATCCACCATTCTGGGGTCTCCTCCCGTCGCTCGAATGGTTGATATGCTCTTGGCAGGCACCAGAGTTCTCTCGCGGGGGCTGAGGGCTTTGCCCTCTCGCCATACCTTCGGTGTCGCAGCAGGTGGCTTGACCAGATGGGCCAATGTGGTCAGGTCTTGGAGAATGTTCATGCCCAGCAGGCAAGGTGGAGCTGGGCCGCCTACTGGGTCTCTGATGACCAGGAACCCCTTGTCACAAAGTT